TATCGTAACGGTTGCGGTGAAATTGTGAATTCGACGAGTGTTCGGTTCAAATAGAATAGAACGAACGTAATTATTCCAGTAATTATTTCGTACACGATGTCGAGGAATTTGCATGGCTTTAGCATGGTGCCACCAGACGACACAGTGTTAATATAAAAATGATCTTGGAACGTGAAATAACAATTTTAGCGATGCCTCAGAGTCACCACTCGAGCGCAAAGGGTTAACAAGAATTTCATAGTCTTTCCGTTCTACAGCTTCCGTCTTCTTCGTACATTTTGCGACACGACAAGTGAAACACGATTTCTTCGCCGGTTCGAATTTCTGCCGCGTTTAAAATCGTTCCATCACGAATCGATCCGAATGGTAGATTGTAACCGCGTTTATCGAGCTGTTGCGCGACTTCCATTGCGAAACGGCGAACGACATCTTTACAATCCCGATAATCGTAAAATAACGAATCTGGAATCTTTCATTTCGCTCGATCGTTCCGCGGGACAGATATATCCGCGCGTCAGCCGCAATAAAAGTCAATGAGAATCGCAATGGATCGCGCAGTTATATTTCGCATGAAAGAGTCTCGGCGCGTCTAGCGCCGACACCTCCGCGATCACCGGCGACGATCCGCTCGGATGCGTATCGGGAGGACGCGCGGGAGTAAGTAAATCGCTAGAGTGAAACGGCCGGTGTCGGCGAACAATAGGTGGAACGATCTGTAGGAAATTGTCCTTCGGAGCGAGCGTTTCGTCATCGTCCTACGGCACGTATACGTGCGTGCCTTTCTATGTACGGAAACGTGATCGGGGCCCCGCGAATATCAGGCGCGGGCGCGCTTCGCAATGGCGCGTTTCAAATGCTAAAATAAACGCTTACGCCGCCGCGGGGATCCCGTGAAAAAACGGGGCCCCCGAGTAATCTTATAAGGCACGTATCAGTCACGCGTTACACGGAACTTTCGCGGCTAACGCGGTTTTTGCATCTCCCCGGGGATCTTGCGAAATCGCGGGGCGCCGCGGCGCGCCGATACGAATTCGAGTCGGCGCCATTAATCATGCGAAAAACTGGACCGCCCAGGTGCTACGGGATCTTTCGATACCGGGAAAATACGGTTTTCAGGGAGACCGTCATGGTACGCTGGTGAGAATTAATTGGCGATATATCGCGAGAAAATCTGGCCGGCTACGGAACGCTCGCACCCTTGTTGCGATTACGGCTAATTCGCGTGACGCAATCGTATTTCGTTCGAACGGTTTTCACCGATCACGGGAAATGCTTGCGAATGCTCCGAGAGCGCGGCTGCGTTTTTCGATCACCCTGGAAACATCGGTTCCCAAGAGAAAAACGTTGAACATCGAATAAAATCGACGATTAATTCATCGAGTAGTCGACGTTGAGTCGCGCCAATCCTTGCAGTGTTGAATAAAATGGAAAAGTACGATAGAAGTATCTATGTTTTCGTATTATTTTGACGATTTTAGATCATATTGTTTACATTGACATTATGTCAATATCATAAATTATGCAAAGATCGTGGTAAATCGAATTTTTCGGGCTGAATTTCCCTTTCGTTTTTCTTTTACTATTTTCTCAAGATAGCAATCGCAACCATAGTTGATCTATCTATGCAAGATAGCAGATGTTTTCAAGTGTCTACAGACTAATTGATTTGATCGCTTGTATATAGTAAATAATAACAATAATGAACACTGAATGCGTTAAGTTTTATTCAATTTTTGCAAATTATGCGAAGACGCGTAAAAATTCGTCCGATAAAATAGGAGTACATTAAAGTCGATGTTGTGATGAAGATAAGCTCGAGAAGCATATTTTAGTAACACTATATGGAAGCATCCCTTGCAGTCTGCTCGCCACGTTTATAAACATGATGAAACAAAAGCTTAGATATGCATGGAATGTCGTTTTAGTTGCTTGCATTATTATTATTCAATCTTCTATGAATTATCCTGTAAGAATGTAACAATACAAAGCTACAGCAAATTCAGAAATAAAAAGGAGGAACCACTTTGAACTACGAAGGATTAATCAACTTGTGAATTACTTCTAGTTCTAAAGCTAAGAATTAACGAACTTGTGAATTATTTTCCATTCTAAAGTCAAGAATTAACGAGCTCGTGAATTATTTTCTGTTCTAAAGCTAAGAATTAACGAACTTGTGAATTATTTTCCGTTCTAAAGCCAAGAATTAACGAACTTGTGAATTACTTTTCGTTCTAAAGCCAAGAATTAACGAGCTTGTGAATTATTTCTAGTTCTAAAGCCAAGAATTAACGAACTTGTGAATTATTTTCCGTTCTAAAGCCAAGAATTAACGAACTTGTGAATTACTTTTCGTTCTAAAGCCAAGAATTAACGAGCTTGTGAATTATTTCTAGTTCTAAAGCCAAGAATTAACGAACTTGTGAATTATTTCTAGTTCTAAAGCCAAGAATTAACGAACTCGTGAATTGTTTTCCATCCTAAAGCTAAGAATTAACGAACTCGTGAATTATTTTCCGTTCTAAAGCTAAGAATTAACGAACTTGTGAATTATTTTCCATTCTAAACCCAAGAATTAACGAACTTATAAATTATTTTCCCGTTCTAAAGCCAAGAATTAACGAGCTCGTGAATTATTTTCCGTTCTAAAGCTAGGAAATAAATAAATATTACGTTGTCGCAGAACAATCCGAACATTAGAAAAACGTGGCAGTGCACTAACCGCATTGCGCCGAAGAAACGAATGTCCGTAACGGGCGGTTCGAGATCGCGAAATTCCGTACAAATGGCGTGCGCTTTCACGATTGTGATAAGTAATTACGAATCAACTGTCCCAACCGATCGGTTGTCTCCGCCCTTAAAAAGCCGCTCCGGATTTTCCAGGCGATCCAATAATTGGCTGTTCGGGAGCCCTTTCGACCGGTTTACTGCGATCGCAATTTCGTCGGCCCGTCAGAAATGGCATGGCGCGCGGCCAGATCCAAGAGGCCGACAATTTCGCCACGCGTCTCCCGGAGGAAATTATCAGCGGACTGAAAGTCGAGTTCCCCGCGAGCGGACATTCTGATCGGACAAATGTAGATCGCGAGATTGCCAGCCGGCGCGAGCCTGTGTTCTCGATCGCCCCGGCTACCGCGAATTAATGTCTCACTCCTTTTCGCACAGCTGGACGTGGGTTTATCGTGGCGGCCCACTTTGTGCGCCGTGTCTCCGATATTATTAACTAGTTTCCCTCTATCTTTAATATTCTCGTTCGCGGCGTTCGAAGATATCGTTTGTCCCGCATGTTAACGCTCCCGCTGCCTCGAGATTTGCATAATTCTTGGAAAATTCGAGCCACGGAACTCGCCCGAAAACTCGATGTTTATCTTGGATGGAGGGGAATTATGTAAAATGTCAGAATACTATTTTCATTCGAATGCGCTTATTTCTCGCGAACTCGAGGCAAAGTATACGCGGGTATGTTGTAACGATCGTAGATAAGCATTTATGCTTGATTATACGTATCCGCGATCTCCGGGCTGCTAAAAATGTTCTACAAATTTGCGCCACCAACTGTCGCGAGATAGAAAGTAATTTGTTATTTTATAAAGCAACGCTTTAAATAAAAAAAGCGGGAATAGAACGGTACCAAAGATATTGTATTATTTAAATAAACGAAGTTTTCTCGAATCTGTCTATATTCAGCTGGAATCCTTGCTGAAATATGCGTAATTCTGTGGTTCGCGATATTTCTCTATCTTCAGCGGTTTCCGAGATATTCCGCAAAATATGGTTCCCACCCCCTGCGTTCATGGTTGCTTTCATTCTTTCGGCATGAATGGTTGGAGACAGGAATACATATGCGTCGAACAGATTGCTAAGAGTGACTTTTTACCAAAATTTCAACGAACTTAATATGCAGAAAAATATTGCTCGCGGTCCATTTTTATACTATTTCGTGTTTACCCGATAGAAACGGAAATTCAAATCTTAATCTACTTAGAACAATGACAACGATATGATTACAGATTGCTAAGAGTGACTTCTTACCAAAATTTCAACGAACTTAATACGCAGTAAAAATATTGCTCGCGGTCCATTTTTACATTATTTTGTGTTTACCCGATAGGAACGGAAAATTCGAATCTTAATCTACTTAGAATGATGACAACGTTATGATTACAGATTACTAAGAGTGACTTCTTACCAAAATTTCAACGGACTTAATATGCAGAAAAATATTGCTCGCGGTACATTTTTACACTATTTTGTGTTTACCCGGTAGAAATGGAAAATTCAAATCTTAACCTATTTAGAACGATGACAACGTTATAAAATAAATACGCAACTTAGATACAGAGAGTTAAACAGATACCAACTGGTAAAAACCTCAACATAAATCTGAGAACGAAACATAACTATAGCCGAATATGGCCAACATCCGCGTTACTCGAGAGGACAAAACACCTGTCTCGTATTCATACACGATTCTTACACTACAAAATCGACGATTATGAAAAGAGCATCTGTAACATGAACGTAAGACGTCTTCAGACGAAACAGCCGACAGAACTTCTCGATTAACCTAAAACTACGCTTACAGCGGAATCTGGAAAAAAGATGGCATACGTGGTACAATGAAACAGTCGCAGGCAGTTCTGGTGGAGGATATTTAGATACGCGACCGTTGAACGGTGGCATAAAAGGCATGTTATAGGTTACAGGTACGGTATGCATGACAAAAGATGTCGCTTATTCTAGGACGTCTCGCGACTAGAAAGAGACGTTCGATGGTCTAAACGCCGCCACGGCGGTCTTCGAAAAGTGAGGGAGAGAGGGGACTGGAAACAGTGATACAGCGGCCCATTTAAATTATTCGCGACACAAGGGGCGGCCGTCCAGTGGAAAAATCGTACGAGCCGTTGTGGGAAGGGATTCGGGCTCGCGGAGGCACGCGGTCAACGAGATCTTATCCGGACTTATGCGGCGGACATAAACAATCGTGTTGCGTAGGGACTCACCACCAGTTGGCCTGCGCGCCGTTTTGCCACGCGACGAGCAGCAACGGTACGAGGAAGAAGGTTGTCAGTACGGGCCGCATCTTCGTGTCGAATTCTTGATGGGGGCTGGCTGGGGCTTTCGTGGATCGTCTGTAGCTCGAATGCACGAAAAGAAACTAAAGGACGAAGGACGATGATCGGACTTCTCTCCCCTGGCTTCAGCCACGCATTCTTACGATAGTCGATATCGATCGAGGATTCGCATCGACGGTTGATCCCGAGGCTGACAGATCGAGAATCGAACGTCGTCCGTGATATCGAGCCGATCGCAGTTACCTCTCGCACCGAGTCGCGGCGTGCAGATATCGGCTATGCTTTCTCTTTGTTTTCGTCCGTTAACTTTCCAACGGTGCGTTATTGTTTACATGTTTTACTCGGCCGGCCGTGTGTGTATGTATGACGAGTGTGTGTGTGTGTGTGTATGTGTACGTATCACTGGGCACACGACGGACAACCGCGGAGAATCAGTTCTCGTGTTCTCTCTCCCGATGCGATGCACTTGCCGCACGACGAGAGTGTAAAGGCTGCCGTTGGAACCGCGCTTTTCGAATCGTGAGTCGAGGTACGCGGACGCGATCGTGATGGGATCGTGGACGATTCGATCGCGGATCCACCGTGAGAACACGGAGGTGTACCGGCGACGCGTCCGGTGAGATTGCAGAGACCCGTGCGAATACGCAGAAGAAAACTTCTCGTCTCGATAGAGGCGAAGCCGACACGAACGAGATGACACTCCGTGAACGCTCGCGTACGTACTGTGGCCGGTAGTCACGAGGAAAAGGGCAACGGGGCTCTCTCGGTGGGCGGAGCTTTCGGTCACTCGCGTGCACGCGATTGGCGGTGTCGTCCAACAGCCACCGAGGCTCCACTCGCGTTAATTAAGCATTTCGGCACACCGTCCCGTTGCCGGCGTTCGCGCGTCTGCCTCGCTCGCTCGCGATTCGTTCGCCAACCGCATTTTGTTTCCGCGAGTTTCGTGAGAAACTCCGGAAAGAGAACGGGAACCGGCCTCCCAATAGGAAAGTTTAATCGTGGGACCATCGCCGACCGACCGATCTCTGACATTCGGGCGGGGGGCGGGGGGGGGGGCTTAACCTAGACTAATCGTCCAAGGAAACTTCGACCGTCGAAAATCGATTTCTTTCATTGCGATTATCGAAGCACGACCCCCCCTTTCTTTCCCCTCCCCCTCCTTCCGGCTTACCGCCATGTTAAAAGTGGACAATGTCGGGGTAACGGTCGGATGTACCGATTTGTTTCTTTGTAACACGATCGTTTTCGAACGGGAAAGACATCTGCGAGACAATCAGTTGATGCCGGGATCGCTATTACAGTATCTTGTGTCGTCTGCCTATTGTTTGTAAGTCGTGTCGTATCTTGTAACGGAGAGTGTTGTCTGGGCCGAAGTTTGGTTACATGCTTCGCCTTTTATACTCGCTTCTTTATTGTATATTTATGTAGCATGATATTAGCTTATTTGACGGTTTCGTTAGATTTTAAAGATGCTTTAAGAGCAATTTATCGATCAACTCGTATTGCATTTTACATTTAAGATGTACTCTCGTTATACAATGTATATATATATAATAAAAATACATACATATACATATATATATATATATGTATGTATGTATTTTTTTTACGTTCGCAGTACATAGTATGCGTACACGTATCGTAAACGTAAATACATAAAGCGTTCTCTTAAATCGGTTCGTATTGTGTACGATATATTGTATCCAGAAAGTGCTTTTATAATACGTCGAGTTTTAAGTGGAGTGTGTAGTCGCTCGAGGAGAAATGTGTAATTTGCGCAACGCATTTATTGCGGTTTCCCCTGGAATGCAGCAAAATGGAAAAATCGTGTTCGCGGGAGTAGGTAAGATTTTTGCTGTAATAAAAACAATTTATATGTAATAAATGACGCAACCGAAGTGGTTAAGTACCATTTTAATTGTTGCGAAAGCTATGTATATAGTTTTGGTTCAACAGCTCGTAATCGAGCGTCGTATATTGCTTAAAATATTTCATACCAATTGTTTCTTTTATTTGACTGAACATCTGCTCGCTAGTCATTCAATTCAGCTGTTCATTTCGATTCGTAAGAAATACAAATTTTGGAATTTTTAAACATTTACAATAGCACACATTAAAACGGAATTAGAATTTTACTGGAATCAAAATTTTGTTGGTTCACGAGTAAGTTTTCGTTTTGAAACGTTCGGAAACGATTAGAGAAGGACGTGCCCTCTAGTGGAGAATCATTGTGTTATCGTTCATATTGGAACAGTTACTCTATCGGTTACTTGTATTTAATATGTTTAAATTTAGTATTTGTTGTGTGTAATACACTAATTAGCATACTTTTACACTATGAAGATTACATTGTAACAAAAGTGGCGAAACTTAAAATAATGTTCATGTTCCAAAGAAGTATTATCAGTCGGTCACTGATCATTTACTGCCAATGTAAACTTCTGTATTTTAAATTTATTTTTATGTTTATGCACTTACGTTCATAATGATAAAACAACGTATTTCATAATTTAATTGTATTTCTCTTTCGAGATTTTATATGCCCATTTGGTAAAATATACTTACTTCGGTGCAGCAATTTACTATAGCAGAAGTTGGTATCTTACAAGTCGCATTATCGATTTAACGAAATAAAATAATAAAATGAGAATAATAAGTACGACAGTGCTGTTATTGAAGATCAAATTTATTAATGATATTACGATTTCATTGTAACAAAACTTGTAAATATTGAAACTATAATCTAACTTATAAATATTTAATGTTACAATCATTCTAAAGATAAGAGAACACATACAGGATAAGGATTATGAACATATATCGCTATGTTTAACAAAATTAATTTTATTTTCCGTTAAAACGAAGAAAATCATATTTCTTATGCATATTCATTGAGTTGCCAGGTACTGCAGTCGCTCAATTTGCACATGGTAATCTAATTGTAATATAAAATATTTAATACTAAAATTAGATATAAATATACAAGGCACGTGCACCTGTGTACTTGTGATTATATCACACGGGTTTAATTAACTTGGCATGTTTAGCATGTATGACAATTGGTCGGCGGTTGTGAATTGTATGTAATGGTAGTTACAAGACCCGACCTGTATGCATTAGCATATGTACCAAATTAGAGACACAGTTTCAGTGGCATTAAAACAATCTACAGGGTCATACATTTGTATATTCTGTTTGACGTTGCGTAGGATTGTGATATAAGCCTGCCATTGCTTCTTGTAAAGCTCTTAAACACGCGACGTGTGCCTTGAATCCTCCTGCTCTGTCAGCCGAAGATTCTACCCGAACATGAGCCACATAACCACGCGTTTGTAGTTCTCTCCAGCCAGGCGGTATGGGCCCTTCTGTAGACTGGCGAATAGGAGTATAAGAGTATAAAGGTCCATCGTCGATCTTTGGCACAGATATATAATTCTGACTTCCTTGGTTGCTAAATTTGATTCCTGTACTAAACTGAGTAGCCTTGGGAGCGGCTGCTTTCGATTCCTTCTTGGATGCTTGAATAGCAGAAGCGAATGTTTCCACGATATTCTTAGCATTTCCTTCGGAGAACGTAAGTTCGTCTATCAACGCCTCCTTCTCACGAATCTTCTTCTTCTTAGCTTCCAGTTCTTCTTTAACTATTTCCATTCGTCTCTCTTCTTCCTTTTGCTTTTCTAGCTCTATCATCTCTTCCAGTTCATATTCGTGCCTACCAATTTTGGACTTACTTTTCGTAATCTGTTCTTTATTGTCCTTCTTGTACTGTTCGATCTTTTTATGCGTATCCAAGACGTCGATGTTATTTGCTAAATTATATATTATGGTCTCAATTTCCTCCAAGTAATCGTTGTATTCTCTCAACGTCGCAAAGTCCTCTTCCCTCTTGTTGAAGTCTCGCAGAACCCTCTTCCTTATATTCACCTCTTTCTCCACCATCGCATCCTCGAACAACTGCACACGAAAGTTTGCTCTTCTCAGAGGAATCTTGCACTCTGGACACGAGCCGGAACCTTTTCAAAATGAAATACAAACGTTAGACTACTATCTATCTATCTATATAGACTACTATCTATCTATCTATATAGACTACTATCATAGATCATAGAACTTAACTAGCATCAACGTACTAACCTTTAAGGAACAGCAGGTCAACGCAGCTTTCACACAACGTGTGTCCGCAGACGTTCACCATCATTTTCAAGGATGGATTCCGATATTTGGTGGTTTTGCATCTTGGGCAGGCTTGGTCGTCCATTTTCGCAGGATAATAGGAACAATTGCAAAAACTGAATCCGAAAAATCCAATGCTTTTTATCGCAGACCGACTGACCGGTTGACAAATCGAACAAGCTCACATTACGACACGTGACACTACCTTAAAGTAACTCGATATCAACGCAATTATACCGTGCCGTTAAATAACCAAAAAACCAGCTCGAACATCGCGGCACGTTCTTCCACGAAACCATACAACAATATCGCTTTGCGGCTACATAACCTCGAAATCACGAGTCTCACGCCATCGTCGCGGAACCGCATCTCGAACGTAATCGATACCGTGTATCGATAACATCGCTATTGTTTACGACCGCGATATAAACACCGATATCGGTCCAGCTCCACGATATACGATAATATTTGCAGAGATTAAACTTCCCGCCAATAATTGCCGACAATTGCATCGAGACACCGGCACTCGATCACGGTCGATCGTAACCTAAGATTATCGATGAACGAACGAGCGAAGGGATTCTCGGTCGAACAATAAAAATCACATTGGCTATTCAAATTTCATATTCGCGATTCGGAATTATTGCGGGATCCGGACCGGGCTACGCGCCGCCTGTATTCTCGCTTTTAACGTCCGCCGCACGGACACGTAAACGCATTAAAAGATAAACTCGTTCGGGGAACGTGAGCCGCATGCTCATCGCCGGGAATCCGCGCCTTTCTCCGCGTTTCAGTTTTTCTCGTTCTTTTTTTCCCCCCTTTTTTTTCCTTTCTTTTTTCTAGTTTTTTTTTTGTTAATGTTACGATCATCGCGCGTCGTTACGTGATTATCGAGGCGAGAAAGCGGGCTGAAAGGAAGACGAGAGTCCCGCTGAAAAGGAGCTCGCGTACGAACTCCCTTGAGAGAGAAAATGAGAGAGAGTGTGTGTGTGTGTCTGTGTATGTCTGAGAGAGAGAAAGAGAGAGAGATAGGGTGCTAGTTTCTCGTACACGTCCGTCATGCGTTTCACCTCCAACGATTTGGGGCATCGATCCTCCCTTTCAAATCCATCGCGTGGATTATACAGAAAAAGAAAAAGACGCGGCGGGGAGAAAGGAGCCGGCAAGAAAGAGACGCACAATGCATGTTCATTACGGCCGAAAGAACAAAGGGCCACGGTATGCTTTGGCGGCTCGCAAGACCGCGTCCCTGTTTTCTTGCCGCGTCGCGATGCCCACGGACACCCGTTATTCAACCCGTCCTCGTAAGACCGCGATAGAGAGGGGAGGGGGAGAGAGAGAAGGCTCCGTGAAAAATGTACAACGACCTTCCCTTAAGTAAAGGAAGGCACCCTAAGCTCGGCCGCGTGCCCTCCGCGGCCCACTGAATTTCCGAGATTAACCGGAATCTTGTATCTACCGTAAGAGATTTCCTAAAGTGAACATCTTATTACGGTGTTTTCCTCCGTCCCGGGGATTCGGCCCGCGAATATCGTCTTTGCCTTGATCCCCTCGCGATTCTCTACAAAAAAAATACACCGGCCGAGCCGGTCACGAATCTCATTCGAAACGCTCGAGCAGATAGCATCCCCGTGGATTTGACGATCTTTGTCCCATGCTCGTAGAAACGAAGATTATTCTGTAAACTGAAATTGTTCGGGGTTCTATACTTTCCTTCTTCTCGTTGCTTGAAACCTGGGGTGATCGATTGTTGCGCCCTCGCTTCGCTTTTGGGCGTAATTAACTTTATATTCATCGAATAGGGCATCTTACATTTTTTGTCTCAGAAATAAACAAAATCGAAGAATAAAAGGATTATGAAGAATAACGGACAGGGTTTTGTGGGCTCTAGAGATTCAAGGGTGACGTTCAATGAAGCCTGGCGATGCTAAGTTACTAAGATAAACCGAGATAAAGGATGCCTAGAAGAAATTATGCTGTCACACGATCTCTAGAAATCGTACGAAGCGAATGATTCCGGCTACCTTCGTTCCACGGTTTCGACAATTATCGCTCGAGTATGCTTACGGTGTTCTCTGCATTAAAATTTTCGAGTGGTCCGCACGCAGCGGCCAGAAAATGAACTCCAAACTCTGGAGATTTAAAGACAACGTTCCACGAAGCTTAGAAATGTCGAGCAGAAACTACATACTTCGGAAACACAGGCAAACGAAGCGTAGAACCAAATCGCGCTACCATATGATCTCCGTGAGTCGCGCGAGGCGAATGATTCAATTTTTGCTAGGAAAGGATGGTGGATACCTACGGTGTTCTCTGGACCAAGATTCTAGGGTGCTCTGCATACTGTGGGTGGAAAATGAACTCCGCGAACCCTAGTAGACGAAGGGTGGCGTCAAATGAACCTTGTGCGAACCTGGCAACTCAATCGTGCCAACTACAACCGGCGAACTCGCAAAAATCAATTTCGTTGAAAAAACGAAGCCTACGAACGAACGAGTCCAAGAAAATGAACTGCGCCAAGTAAAATCTGAGAAGAAAACCCGCGAATACTGGAAAATTAACTGCGGCAGACGAATTGCGGAAAGAGAGACGACGCGAACGAAGATTCTCGAATAATTTCGCTGGAAAATAGGAAACCCACGACGAGTCCTGGAAAATGATCGAACTGGGAAATAACTTTCATTTCGAGACGCGGTATTGGACACCGGCGTAATTTTGAGCTAGATTGGCCTTAATATACAATTAATTGATATCGACCGTGAGAAATGCCGTTGTGGTCCAATTTGGATGCCCGGCCGAAATCATCTCTCGCGGTATACTACGTTGTCGTTCAGGAAACATTAGCGTCCTGAAAACAATTACTCGAATTGCGATCCCGTAACCGGGTCTGATAAAAAGGCTCAACTGGCGTAATTGAACGTCATATTAAGTCGGCGGCCGTGGAAAGGGGGGAGAAAGGGGAAAGAGAGAGAGAGAGAGAGAGAGGGAGAGAGAGAGAGGGGAAGGGAGGGAAGCCGCGAGAGGAGATCGTACCGAAAGACGATTGTCTAAATCGCTTCCGGTAAAATTCAACCACCGCGTGCCGGGCTCACAAGGGTTTTAGTCTTTCAGTGGTCGGAAAAAGTGGGTATCGTTGACCATTAAATCCGTTTTAAAGCTGCCGTTCGGGTTGGTAAACAGACTCCGAAGAAATTCAGCGCGGTCAAAACACTCGTGGGAAAAGTATCTATTTTTCTTTTGCGGGCTCGAACTATCCCTTCTCCCCTGCTCTTCTCTCTATCTTTGTCACTCCCTTTCGTCCCCCCTCTCTCCCTCTCGTTCTCTTGCCAGTAGAGACCGCGATCGTGGCGATAAGCCCGATTTAGCGGTTACAAGGCGAACGACGTGAAAGAGCGACTCCGCTGCATTGATATTTGTTACGGTAGTCGGGGCGTGTTAGTGCGTGACACGTGTGTGCAACAATGACGCAGACAACAACATCGACGGCGACAGCGACTCGAAAGACAGCTACGACAACGACAACGACGTCGACGTCGACGCCGACGACGAGAACGAGAACGACAACGACGACGACGACGACGACGACGACGACGACGACGACGACGACGACGACGATGAGAACGACGAC